CCAGGGAAGGGGGACCTTGGGAAGGCACCTGTGAATAGACCTACTGGACTAGAGTGGAAGAGAGAGATGAGAGTCAGACCAAGGGGCTCAGATGTACCTTCAGCTTAGCATTTGTTCTCCTGCCTAGATGAGGAGGTGCTGGGGTCCCCAGCAGTGGTTAGAGCAACTGCCACACACTCTCTGAGTTGGAGACCTGAGTCTAGTCCTAGACCAGCCTTGGCCGACTGAGCCTCTGTTTCCACATCCGTTTGCTTTTAGTCCAGCACCACCATCTTCTGCCTGTGGTTGAGCTATTTTACCTTCATCCGACTTGACTGCTGCTTCTTGGTCAAACCAAAGTCAGGCGTGTAGGGCAGCATATGTTGTGTGGCAGCCAAAATCATACCGAGTCTGGGATTTAATTTTATACCTAAATTTAGCAGTTATTTTTGAGAAAATCCTCCCCATGTTTGGATTCGGATGTGTTAATGATGTTAATCCTTTTATTTCCAAACTTTGGGTTTTGTACTATTTTTCTCCTCCAGTTCATGAGCAGAAATAGGAAAATATTTTCAGTCAAGAAAAAAAAGGTACTTCTAAATATGGAACTATTACATTATAAAATATAATCAAGTGAAGTGAAACTTCTTACTGTTCTCCATGTATATTAAAAACTGATTTTATATTATGCAAAAAAAAAAGCTTACAGACTTGTCTTTATTTTAAAAAGAAAGAAACAAAAGAAAAGAGTGAAAATTGTTTTCTTAGCCTTGCTGACTCATCATGATGAACTTCACGCTTGGGTTTAATCCATCCAAAGTGAAAGGTAACCACGAAGAAATGTCAAACCACTCAGTATGGAGAAGGTTCCACATGGTAACGTGGCTTCTACGATTGCTTGGTTTCTGCTTTTGTTTTCTGGGATTGGAATACAGAACAAGAGACGATAATAATTTTACTAAATGAGCTCGTCTGTGTAGATGCTGTCAGTATCCCTACTTTATGGATGAGGAACAGAGAATTTCACTGGCTGGGAGATGGCCGAGCCAGGGTTCACATCCAAGCAACTGGCCCCAGAATCCTTGCTTCTGACCACTCTGCCCTCCTGCCTATCTACTGTTTTAGGAGCAGTGAAGAGAGCCGTGGGATCATCACACAAGGGTGGAGTTTGTGCCTGGCTAGTTGAGATGTATACATAGGCTGTTATTTTAATCATATTTGTGGTTAAAGATGAGAATGGAATGTTCTTAGTTTATTTTTTTCTTTCATTACCTACGACAGTTTAAAAAATTCCCATTTAAATTCCAATAATTTTCAAATATTCATTAAGCAGATACTTTATTGAGTACCTGCTGTATGCCTAGAGTATTATAGGCAGCGAGGATAGAGTTGTGAACGTGACAAAGAAGATTCCTTTGTGGAGTTTTCTAACATTCTGATGGGAAAGACACAAAAATACTTAAGCTGCCATGAAGAAAATTTAATTCAATCTCTGAAGAGATAGCATTTGTAGGAGGCAGACCTTAAGTGAGGTTTATAAGCTTTAGGAAGATCCAAGGAGGAGGTTCTAAGCAGAGGGTACGCTTGGGGCAGATGCTGGCAGTGGGGGGAGCAGCGGGAAGGGAGTGAGTGAGGGAAGCATGTCAGAGACATGTCAGAGACAAAGGAGGGAAGTGGACAGTGCTGTCACATAGGGCTTTTTGGGCCCAAAAAGATGGGCCTACTCAGATGAACATAGGGCAGGGAGCCAACATTCTCTTCATGTTGGCAGCTGTGTGGAATGACTTGTAACCCAAGAATAATCGTGGAAAGAGTGTTGCCCCCTATAATAACTTTCTAATTCACACTACTCTGATTTATATTTCAAAATTACTATTCAGGTCTATTCAACACCTCTCCCTTTTTCAAAAAAATTTTTCTTTATTTATTTGAAAGAGAGAGAGACCATGAGCTGGGGAAGAGGCATTGGGAGACTCCCCAGTTAGCAGGGAGCCTAACGTTGGGCTTGATCCTGGGACCACGACCTGAGCCAAAGGCAGAGATTTAACCAACTGAACTTCCCAGGCACCACATTCAACACCCTTTCTAGAAAAGTATTCTTTCTCATTTGTTAGTCATTAGAAGGTGGAAAATGATAATGTGAGCCCCCTACAGACAGAACGTAGCACTGCCTCTTTTGATGATGGGGTCAAGCCTCCAAAATAGTTGGGGAAATAACGATGCTGAGGAATGGAACTTCAATTATCTTTAATTTAAAATAGCGGGAACAGATGTGAATTGACAGATGTGATTTGGCAGATGGCACAGTGAAACGTTTTCCCCAATATAGTATGGGTTCTCTCAGCTTTGGTTATTCTACTCTTTTGAATTTTATTTATATATTTACACACAAGCTTTCTCTTAAAAATACATGTTGTATCTATGTGACATTTGCCAGGAGTAATTTAAATGAAGGGGAAAGTTTAGAACTAAATATTTTATAGCTAGTTTCTGATTTTTTTCTTATAATTTAAACATTTTACTTCCACCTTGTATGTTATTATAGATGGAAAAGAAATCATATACATATATATATGTATAGTGTGTGTGTGTGTGTGTGTGTGTATTTTTTAAATTTTATCCAGTGAAGTTTCAGAAATAATTCTCATTATATTTACATTCAGACCACCTGGATATTAGAAATTGAACCAGTATTCTTAAGACTTACAGTGAGAAAATTTTGTCAGATATAGGAAAATGCAGCAATCTCTTCAACTTGAATGTTTAAAAGAGCATCTATCTAGAGGAAAATAGGGCAAGGGAGGGAAAAGTAAAGCAAGATGAAATCAGAGAGGGAAACAAAGCATAAGAGCCTTCATCCTGAGGGTTGCTGGAGGGGGTGGGGGTGTTGGGGTAACTGGGTGATGGGCATTAAGGAGGGCACATGATGTAATGAGCCCTGGGTGTTGTATGCTACGGATGAATCATTGCCCTCCACCTCTGAAACTAATAATGCACTATATGTTAATTAATTGAATTTAAGAAAATAAACCAAACAAAAAGAGCATCTGTTTCAGGGTAAATTCCACATTGATTCAGAATGGTTATAAAATGAAATGTTATTTAAAGTTGATTTTTTTTAATGTAATGAAGGTTATTGCCCAGAGGATCTCTGCATTTACAGTTTACAAAGAGTTAGATACTATATCATCGCCTAGATGCTTCCAGACAGTGATTTGTGTGTATGAGTGTGCTTGGTGGACTCTGGGCTTCTCCCACCAGCTTCAGTCTTTGTCATTCTTCTGTATGAAGCCTTCAGGTGAGCTTTGGTTGGAGAATAAGGTGTCTAATGCACACTGCCTACCATGTAAAAAGAACTATCAATCAGGAAGTAATTTAATTTTTCTAGATTTATTCAGAAGGTACTTCAAAGATTGGAATTATAGACTTCAAAGATTGGAATTATAGAATTAAAAATCACCTTTAAAAAACTATCCATTGTTGTTGTTGTCGTTTTTCGCTTTTTATGGATAACTGAAGAAAATTTGTTAAGTATTCTGGTTATTTGCAACCTGGATGAAGAGAAATGAACCAGAAGCCCTTCCTAACAGGATGTTTATTGCAATATAAATTAGCAGTGCAATTTCTTATCAATCAGGTGTCTCACGTTTTATAAGAGTCATGCTACCCTAACTCCTCATAACAGTACAATGAACTCTAGTAACCGAAAGTTTTTATTGCCGATGACTTCACTAGACTTGTCTAGACAGCAGTTATTCTCTAAAATCACAGCATGTTAGGGCTGGAAGAGATTTAACAGAGATACCGTAATTTAAATGGCCTAAATGTTCTGTCTGCCATTGTAGCCATGGTTTTGGGGTTTGAGGGATGGTGAGACCAATGACTTCAGGCTGGAAAGTGGGAAACTGATAGGCATAAATATAGGAAGGGCCTAACTTTGGTTTTGGATGCAAATATAAACATATAAAAGTATCTTTCTCTGGAAAGGGCAGCAAATTTGAAGGGAATTTGATGTCTGCTTCTGTTTGTCAAAATGGGAGACTCCCTGGAGGTTCTACCTAGAGAAAGTATTGCAGTCAAATTCATAACCTTTTGGATTGACTCTCTTTGGCAAAGTAATGCCAGCTAAAACAAAATAATTCCTAGCGTTCTAATTTCTGCTAATGAAATCCATATGCTATCAGTTTTGTTGTCAGTGGGATTTGGATTGGCTCTGCATGGTTCCCCACCCTTCAGCCATTTTAATCCGGTCAATAAAATGAGCAGTCAAGTAGAAAAACTGATTGACTAACAAACCTTTTAACTGGTTGTTTTGTTCTCCTGGCTATTGACATAGGGCTGCCAGCTATGATTTTTTAAGATTTTATTTATTTATTCATGAGAGACACACACACAGAGAGAGAGAGAGAGAGAGAGAGAGAGAGAGAGAGAGAAACAGGTTCCATGCAGGGAGCCCAACGTGGGACTCGATCCCGAGGTCTCCAGGATCAGGCCCTGGGCCGAAGGCGGGGCTAAACCTCTGAGCCACCCAGGCTGCCCTGCCAGCTATGATTTGATGTAAAGCCTGGGTCTCTAATTCCACAGCTTTATGGGCCCATTGGTGGCAAAGACCAGAATGGAGATACTAGGCCAAAGGAGTTCAGCTGCTTTGATTGACTTAGATTTGGTCTGAGCACCTGGAATAAAAAATAGCCTTGTCTTTGAGAAAGTGTCTTGACACCTTTCTTTGACTTGGGTATTTAAAAAATTGAATGGGTGGGACACTTGCTACCTAAGTGTCCTGAGGTAGATATTAGCTGAGCTTCTCGTTAACTTTGTGAATGTCAGACAGTGACTTATGCCGGTAAGACTTTCTCTGGAGAAAGAACAGTAATGATTTCCTGGTGATTTTGACTGGTTGGGAACAAACATTAAGTGCTCTGTATTTGGTGAAAAGTTTTCATGTGAAATGTATTTCGCTGCGATCCTTGTGACAAGGAGTGAATAACTTGCATCTCCCTCTGACTGTCCTATTTCTGTAGGAAGCCGCCCTCTGTAGACAGCTCCCCATGGAAGCCGAGACTCTGGCCACCGTTCAGGCTGCTGTCAACCCGCCAGCCATGACCCCAGACATGAGATCCATCACTAATAATAGCTCTGATCCTTTCCTCAATGGGTAAGTTAACGTTTTGGAGCGACTGACTTATTTTTGCTTTCTTTATTATGTGGTCTGGAGCATAATGGGTCTTTGTTTATGTCGGGGAAAGGTAGGGAGCTTGGAGGTTGGGGTGGGGATACAGGCAAGCTGTCCATTTCCTGATGTTGGCAATTGTACTAGGATTATGTAAGATGTCCTTGGGGAAGCTGGGTGAATGGTGCACGGGAACTCTGTACTTGTTTTACCTCTTCTTTGGGGGTCTAAAATTATTTTACAAAAAAATAAAATAATAAAATAAAAGTATTTTACGATAAAAATTCTAATTAAAACAAAGGGATGCTGTTTTAAAATATGAAACATATGAACAGAAGGAAAGGATAATTTGCCAGAAATATGTTCATGAGTTAGAAGTAGTCAAACCTTAATTGTAGCTTTTGAAACCCAACTAAAGGGCAGTTGTCTATTTCCTGTGCCTTTTCTGCCCTTGCAGAGGCTTGTAGCAAACAAATACAAGTATGAAAGTTAGTGAAAACAGAAAGAGAGGTAAAAACAAACAGTAACTGAAATAATGAAGAAAAGGAATTTTTAAATTGTTGATTTAGAAGTATTACAAATATACAGGAAAATACAAAGAATATCCTAAGATTTACCCAGGTATCCAACACCCAGATTTGCCATTCTTCCCTAGATCTTATTTTTTATTAACATATTATAGTTGATATTGAAACCATCCCCACCACCACTGAAATCTGTTTCTTTCTCTTTTTCCCTCCCTCGTAGAAGCCACTATTCAGAAATTGGTGGGTGGGGGCACCTGGGTGGCTCAATGGTTGAGTGTCTGTCTGCCTTTGGCTCAGGGCGTGATCCCGGGGTCCTGGGATCGAGTGCCGCATCAGGCTGCCCACAGGGAGCCTGCTTCTCCTTCTGCCTCTCTGTGTCTCTCATTAATAAATAACTAAATAAAATCTTTTAAAAAATAATTTAAAAAAAGAAAGAAATTGGTGTGTGTCCATCACACATTTTTATACCGCCTATTGCTCATTAGCGTGTGCATTCATAAGCAATATTCAACATTGTTTTCTTTTTTAAAAAATTAACATAAATGGTATCATATATGCAGAACAGTGTTCACATTATTATTTTGAGATAAAAAAGGAAGTCAGTGTCAATTTACTACAACGGCCAGGGTTATTTGCCTTGTCTTTTAATTTCATTGACGTTGGTGTGCAGGTTTTACAGTTAAGGGGAGGTGCAAAGTCGGCCTCCGTCCATTGCCTGGAAAGTTGGGCAGCATGACAGGAGTGCACCAGTTTAGGGGTTTCGTGACTGTGTTTTAATTTTGGAATTTCTTGGTGTGGGCTTGCATTGAAGTTTCTCCACCCTTTGCTCCGCAGGGGGCCCTATCACTCAAGGGAGCAGAGCACTGACAGTGGCCTGGGGTTAGGGTGCTACAGTGTCCCGACGACTCCAGAGGACTTCCTCAGCAACGTGGACGAGATGGACACAGGTGGGAGCAAAGCCTGCGAGTACCTGGTGTTTGCATTTTTAAATCGTCCCTTTGGTCGTCTGAGTTCTAAGTCCAACCAAAAACACCTATTCTCAGCAGTGACACAAAATGACCACTGAAAAGCCACCCAAACCCCAGGCACTAGTAATAAATTCTAGTCCCTTCTCTCCATAGTTGATACAAATAGAGTTTTATATGCAGGCATAGAATTTGAAATTCTTTTCTCCCTCTTTCCTTCCCTCCCTCCTTCTCTCTCTTTTCTTTCCTTTCTCTTTCTCTCCCTTTTTCTCTCCCTCTCTTTCTCACTTTCTCTGTCCTTTATTCCTTTCTTCCTTCCTTCTCTCCCTCCTTTCTTTGTCTCTTCCTCCCCCCTTCCACTCTCCTCTCCTCTCCTCTCCTCCTTTCCTTTCCTCTCCTGTCCTTGCTCCATATAGCCTCCTGCTTCCACAGTGGGATATTATGCTGTTCTAGCATTCAGTTGTAGTGTATGGGCCACTCTTTCTCTTGAGAAGTGGGACTGCTTTATAATCTACCATTGTGCTAGCTAGCTAGCTATTTATTTATTTATTTATTTATTTATTTATTTATTTATTTGGTGTCATTCGCTGCATTCGGGAAGCAATTGGCAGCAGGCATTTGGAAAGCTAAGCCCCTCAAAAATTCTGAATTGTCAGCTCCAGGTCCCAACATGGTAACTATGTCCTCCTTCAGCAATTAAACAGAAGAGTCAGGGTACCTTTGACCTGGGCCCCAGGCTGCCCCCCTCCTTCAGGCCAGGCCCAGCTGGCTTCTGGTCCTGTCCCCCCTCCTCTTCTCGAGGAGTGAGGCCTCCAATTGCAAAAGCCAAATTTGGCCTTATTAGTCAAATCTAAATTTAATTGTAAAGTCTTAAACTCCCAGAGGATAGTTTAGAACCAAAAATAAATGATGGCTGAGGGGTCCACTATTTGAAATGATTCATGCGAGTTTCTCTTACGCCATCATTAATGACAGGAAATTAATTGTCCTGTGATGAAAAGAAGTCCCTTCCCCGATGCTGTTGTCCACAGTGCCTGTGTTTGTTAACTGTGTTCTTAGATGAGTACTCTTTGTGCTCTGAAGCTTAACCACCGGTCAGACATGAGTCAAAGTCAACCAGGCCCCTTGGGAGGTTGGAGTAGGTGCTTTGGGGTCTCTCTGCAGGTTGTCATCTGTGTGTTTAGAGGATAGCACAGACTGTCTTGTGAGGAGTCACATGGGAATAGTTTGAAGTGTTTGTTTTGTTATTCTTTGATTTATTACTTTGGTTTTCTTTCCCTCTGGCCTCCCTTCCTCACTTTATTCATCTCTCTGTTTTTTGGTGTGAGATTTATTTTGTCCTCTTTGGAACAGCCTTATGAAGTGGCTCCTTCCTATATTTAATAATTGTTTGCTTTCATCTTTTAAACACTGGGAAGCCAGTAAGTGTGTGTGTATATATATATATATATATATATATATATATATATATATATATATAAAAGTTAAATAAAAAAAAAAAGACTCAGGATATTTAAATCTCAGGCTGACTGTGGCTTTTAAAAATGGCCTCAAAGTAGGGAATATTTTGAAACCAAAATGTGGAATGAAGTGGTGTCCTGGAAAGAACATAGGCTTTGTAGATAGGCAACCTAAATTGAATCTGTGTCTCCACTTGTTGATAGTGACTTTGAGAAAATGACAGAACCTACAAGGGCTTTGGATTTCTCACCAATAAGTGGGAGTTACATGCTTCCTTCATGGAGTTGTAGGGAGTCATGAGATCACACAGTCTGGCCCCAAATTCTCTTCCTCCCCTTCTGAGAGGCTGAAGTCATGGACAAATTGAACTTGATAAATGCTAGACATCCAAGTTTAACCTGGTTAAGTGAGTGTCAGCCCGTGGAGTTTAGGGTCGTGTCTGTGAAGTCTTTCTAGGAAGTAGGCATGAACCTTCTCAGGAAAAGACATGAAATACAGTAATAGGATGAGGAAAAGCTGGGGGGTGGGCACAGGTTCCCGGTGTGGCTAGAAAGGGTCTGTTAGATTCACTGACCACAGGTTGAATGGAAACAAGCCAGCTAAGCACTCCCTTTGCAAATCACACATGGAAACAACAGCTGGATGTGGTGTGGAATAGCAAGAGCAAAGGCTAAGAGGTCGTCCACTCTTCTAGAATATTCTGCAATAACCATACCCTTTTCAGAACTGCCTGGTTTTTGTTTCACCTGCTTTTTATTTATTTTTATTTATTTATTTATTTAATTTTAAGATTTTTAAAAATTTATTTATTCATGAGAGGCACAGAGAGAGGGAGAGAGAGAGAGAGAAAGAGAGAGGCAGAGACATAGGCAGAGGGAGAAGCAGGCTCCATGCAGGGAGCCCGATGTGGGACTCGATCCCGGGACTCCAGGATCACGCCCTGGGCCAAAGGCAGGCGCTAAACCACTGAGCCACCCAGGGATCCCCCTCTCCTGCTTTTTAAATGAATAAAACTTTTAAAGACCAAAAAGATCACTAGGCGATTACCAAGTTGATCCAAAGAGAGTTATTTTAAGATTGTAAACCTTAACGAAAAAATCTCATAATTATTCTCCTCATGGTTTCCGTGTCCGAGGAGAAAAGATAGAGAAATTCTTTAAAATAGATTTTGTGTGGCTATATATAAAAAAAAAGTATTCTTGAGTTATTAGAAAATTTATATGGGAAATCAATAGAGATGAAGGGTTCTAACTGGAGATGAGGAAAAAAAGACACGTTGCGATCATAGTTTTTCAGGGCAGATTTTTTTTTTTTTTTAAGGCTCATTTCCATCTGTTACATTCTAGTGGGTAGTAAAAGTTATTTTGGATTTTCTGTTCTATTTTGATGTTGTTTTCTAGTATCAGTAACACTATGTTGAGTTCATGTCAAATTTCATTTAATTTTCAAATTACTGCTTTTTGTGATGAAAATCCCCTAAAATATTGCCAAGAGTTGTTGATATTGTACGAGTTACAGAAGAGCTACTGAGCGTTGCTATCACCAAAATGCAAGTTTGATCACGTTTCCCTCATCTCTTGGAAAGATGCAATGCATATGGTTAAAATGAATTTTCTCCGATTTTCCTCAGAAAAATGAAATTTTTATGCACAGTTTCAGGAAGGCTACTGATACAAGGATACTTATAGGACACAAAAGCTAATTACAAATTACAAATGATTCTAGGGTGGAAGCTGGTGTTAGTTACCAATGCTCCTCAGCCTCTGAGGTATATTTTATCCCTTCAGAAAATTGATCAGGGCTATTTGAATTAACCAGTTGTTCTGATATTGGGTGCTCAACAATGAGCATGGTTCTTCTTTCTCTCAGCACAGTCAGCATTCATTGCATTTTTGTATTTATATGTTTGTTGGTGTGAGCGATGCCCAGAACTGTGGATGTGTGGCAGACATTATACGGTTCTTTACTCCAGCGTGTGAAGAATGTGCCCATAATCTCAGTTTCAGTTGGGTACACTGGGTCAGACACGTTAAGTGTGTTTGAGGCCTCACAGCTAAAAAGCCCAGTCCACTGGCACAAAGGTCAGTATGTTTTCTCCTACACTATTATGTATAAAGAACATGTATTCTTGGGCCACCTGGGTGGCTCAGTGTTTGAGCATCTCCTTTGGCCCAGGGCGTGATCCTGGGGTCTGGGGATCGAGTCCCACATTGGGCTCCCCGCAGGGAGCCTGCTTCTCCTTCTTCCTTCTGCCTGTGTCCCTGCCTCTCTCTGTGTGTCTCTCATGAATAAATAAATAAAATCTTAAAAAAAAGAAAGAACACGCATTCTTCATGTCATAGCCCAGACATCTCATTTTCTTGGAACAGTATTTTCTCAACTGTGTTCTGTGGACTCCAGTTCCATTAGGATATCAATTCTACCAGATTAGGGTTGGATGATTAAAAGAGTTTAGATAATAGTGGCCTAAACAAAAAGTAAAACAGATCTCTTTACAACTTGACTTCTTAGAACCTTCATATGCTCACGTAGGTTGTGACTTGTACTCATTGTGAGAAAAGTAGATAGTTATATGGTGCCAGGTGTGCGTGTGTGTGTGCGCGCGCGCGCACGCATGCGTGCGCAGGTGGGGGGGGTGATGTGCAGAATTTGCTTTATAAAATACTTTGAAAATGATCCCTAGAGCCATCGATGAAGACAGCTCTTTAATAACAACATGGTTAAAGGAAACTCCTAAGTGTTGTTTTTGAACATAAAGAGGAATGACATGGATAAATATAAGCTTAACAATTAAGTCCTTAGAGTATAACTCGATGATAAGGTATTTATTACGGGGGGGGGGGGCCCTCTACTCTTTCACAAAACCGCTCTTCATGCAGCTGTCATGGGAGGGCATAGACCACAGGTCCCATCCACAGGGCCTTCCCGTGCTTTTCTCCTATCTTGGGCTTATCCCTTCTGGGCAGTGTCTTCCCAGGACAAATAAAGATTGACCCGGCATCTCTGCATGTCTTATGAGTGAGGATCACCAAGTCAACCCTAGGAAGGTGGTAGCTGGAATTTTTCACAGAGGTGAAATATTTTAGACCTGCAGTGATAGAATCTTCTGTTTAAATGTAAGCACTGTGGAAATGAAGATGAGAGTTGTGTTAATGCTTCAGGAGCTTAAAAAAATGGAATTAAAATGATCTTCCTTTGTTCTGTTATAGGAGAAAACGCAGGACAGACACCCATGAACATCAATCCTCAGCAGACCCGTTTCCCGGATTTTCTTGATTGTCTCCCGGGAACAAATGTTGACCTAGGAACTTTGGAATCTGAAGATCTGATCCCCCTCTTCAATGATGTAGAGTCTGCTCTGAACAAAAGCGAGCCCTTTCTAACCTGGCTGTAATCAATACCATTGTAACGTGGATGCAGCCGTGACCTGACATTTCCTGGGCCTCTTGGAAAAAGCAATGGAGCAGAGTAAGTCTGCAGGTGTACCACTTTCTGCCTCCATGACTCAATGCTCCCTCCTTTCCATGCGGCCAGTTTAATCATTGCCTGGATTTGATTGACAGTAACTTAAGTTAAACGCAAATGAATGCTCTATTTTCATTTTCTTCAGGCCTGCATCCCTGTGATGGGCTATATGCAAGAATTGCTTCTGCAGAACTGAGAATGCAGAATTGCTTCTCTGTTTTTCTCTCTGCTGCCCCATAACTAAGCTTTAGGGGTGTTAGTTGAAATTTGTGCATCCATTGATTATAAACCATAAAAAGCCGACCACAGGCAGTGACTTGTGACAGGCAGCTCGGTCCAGGAAATGTACATGAAATTAGACCTGATTTTCAGTTTTAAAAACTGTATTAATGACAGTAGTACCAAATGCTTTAAAAATATTTAACGTGAGCTTTAAAAATCATTGTATGGATAGTAAATCTCTGCTGTATGGAATACAATGTAGTTTTGAATCCATGCTGGTTCTGATGGTTCTTTTACTCTGTATCTGCAAAGGCACACATGGTCTATTGTAGTTTGGCCTTCCTCATTACTTTACTGCGTAGTGTCTAGACAACTCTTCCTTCCAGCAGGAGAGGAGCAGGAACCTGAGTCACAGTTCCTACACTTACAGATCTTATGAAAGAGACCAGTTTGGTACTAATTATGAGCATTTGTTAAACAAAACTTTTATTTTTTAATTACAAGTTGGATTTTTTCAAAAAATTGCAGCTTAGAGTTTGATGTTTATTTTATAAAGCTTTGTAGCTGATGACAAAGGGCAGCCAAATATTTTTGATCAATCAGTGGCAACTGTATTTTTGTCTTTTGAAAACTGTTCTGAAAACATCAGGACAACATAGCTTCCAGCCTGACAGCACACACAGTAAACTGTTGCTTTTTAAATGCTGAAGCCTTATCAGTTTTGCTTTCCAGATTTCAAGTGTTTAAAATACTCTTATCTATGAAACTGAAGGATGAAGCAGATCTCTGACTGACGTTTAAAAAAAAAAAAAACCCTCTGAGGGGTGTATGGTGGAGACACGTGTTTCTGAATTCAGCAAAATTGATTCCTAAGTATGTTATCCTAACCGTGTTTGCTACAGTTGGTATAAAAAGGCATGAAATATGTACTCAATACCTCTTATGTAACCAAAAACATTTTTTTTTTATTAGCTTTTAAGGACTGAGAGAGAGCATCAGGTTCCCCCAGGCATGCAACTCTGTCTGCATTGCCAATGAAGTCCTCGATTGTTTAATATTTTGAACTGACATTATTTATAATCTATGAATTTAATATCTTTTTGGAAAGACATGAATAGTTCAGGTCTCTGAGAGGAACCTTCAATTCCCAAGGGGGCTTAGATCTATTGGGGAATCCTAAGTAAGATCCTCTTCAATCTACCAGAACATAGACAGGCAGAAAATATTTTTAATCTTGTTGGAAAGAAGGCAAGTGAAAAGGTCAGAGATGAGGTAGTCAAGTCACGGTATGCAGTGGAAGGATACTAGTTGTGAAATGGAAACAGACAAGTGATAGTCCCCCACAAGCAAGACAAGCAGGAGGTAGGAGAGGTGCCCAAAAGAACAAAGCAACAAGTTCCTACAACTTTTATACCAAAAGACTGTTGTGGAAGAAAGGGCTTTGGTGCACTTTATATGGAAGAAGGGAGGGGCAGGGCTGGTGTTGCCCTGAGCATGTCTGTGGACAAGAGCATAAGCCTGCTGTTGCTTCCAACACAATGAAGTGATTTTTTTTTTTTCCTGAAGGACCCATAGTTTCTGTTCCTGACTCCTTTTCTCTCCCTGAGCGCTCTGAGAGAGAGGGGGGTGGATGTTTATGTTGCTACTAAATTGAAGGGAGCACTATTTCTTTTTCTCTTTTATGAGCAATAATTGCAAAAAGAGTTGTACATTCTTTCTAAGAAAAACAAAAAACAAGGGACCTAACAAAACTGAGCAGTGTTACTGTATTTTTTAAAAATATTTTTATAGACTCCTTTTCAGGTTATTAAGTGTAAAAGAAACGGATACCCCTCTTTTTTTAAAGTAGCTAAAACATCGGTGATTTGTATTATCAATTTTTAGAAGTAATTTCCTAGTAAGCTTGTGGCATTAGAAAATACTAGAAGATTTTTTTTTAGTGAAATTAGTTGAAACATTTATTAATGAACATAACAAATATTTTTCCAGAATTGAATATGAACCATGACTGCGTGTTTACTAATAGACAAAGCCAGATGTAATTTTTTTGTTTTGTTTTTAAGGCCAATAAAATAATGGCCTTCATTAAAGAACACTAAAGCTAGAAATCTAAAAGTAAGAACAACTTTTTAAAGGTTTTTTTTTTTTTCCTATCATTGTAAGTGTTAAGAGCCCTACAGAATCCATGATAAGGTGCTATTTATATTTCTTATTAGAATAAGAACTGCCAGCATATCTAGTCTTCTTAGTCCTCCATCAGTAAATGTCAACATTTCATCCATTTGCTGTGCCACAGAAAAGGCATATTAAAAATTTGAAGTGGAAAACTCATTGCCGAGATCTTTCTTACATGGTATTGTTTTCCTGATAAAACAATTTTCTTGAAGTGAATACATCGTCAAAACCGATTTGCAATTCTCCTAAACCCGAGGAATTGTTCGTGTTTCACCGGAATATTTAGGATGTGAAAGGCAGTTTCTTTCACTGATGGGACAACAGGTGGGAAGCGCACAAAGCCTGTAGCGTCCCAGGCCTGATAGAAGCGCTCTCTGTGGAAGACAGTGAGAGAAGTGTTGCTAATTTTAAGTGGTGTTCTTATGACATGATTAGAAAGTAACTTCTAAAGGACAACTTTTATGGAAAAAATAAGCTGTTAAAAAAAAAAGGAAATGTAGATTAATTTAATTGGGGAAAATGGGCGATTGATGGAGACCGTTTCCCTAACACACTACATCATTTATGTGCTAGTACTTTAACTTTTTAAGAAAATGTACTTCTACGTTTTGTACTCTGACATATGTGTGTTTATTTTTTAATTGAGAATGCTCTGCCTCCAGAAGGCATGCAGCCAAATCAATCCTATCAAACCATTTTACCTGGAGTTTGGTACTGGTTTTTACTTCTCTGATTCTGTATAAGAAAAATAAATACAATTGAATTTCCACTTGGAGCCTTTGTCTTTTCATGGTTTGTGTGTGTTCCTTTTACTGGAGGCTTTGGGTGGTACTGAAGAAGGGCTTATGTAACCCTCCTGGCAGACAATGAAAGAAAGAAAATTTTGTAGGCCAACATTGTCTTGGCTCAAACGTCTGGTCTCCAATATTCTAAATATCCACAGAATTCTGGTTTCCCCTTTATTTGAAGGAACCCACCGAGATTTTTTTTTCAAGTGTGTACACATGTAATTCATATATTTTATATATATAGTTTACGTATAATACATATAAATTTTTTTAAAAAGTCACACTGTCCTTCTAACACCCTCACAGATTGGACTGAGATGTCCGAACTATAGGATTCTCAGTCCTTCCTCAGTTGTTAAAAATATCGTGTGGCTTCTTGTTGTCAAAGCTAAGGACAGCTTACCATTTATTCTGAGTGTGGGCTTGTGACAGGATATTTTCTCTGTCCCTTGAGTCGTTTGATTCTCACTGTTGTAATACCTTTGTCCAGTCCACAGAAACATTAGGTGAGAGCAAGTGAAAGGTTGTTTTCAAGCAGAAGCTAAGCAACAGAAAAAAGGGATCCTGGTGGGAACAGCTTACTAACATTGCAGAGCCTTAAGTCTCATGCATTCTTTTTTAAAAAATTAATTTTTTTTAAATTCCAGGATAATTAATTTACAGTGTTTTATTAGTTTCAGGTGTACAATGTACTGATTTAATGATTCTCTACATTACTCCGTGCTCATCATCATAAGTGTGCTCTTAATCCCCATCACCTATTTCATCCATTCCCGCCACCCACCTCCCCTCTGATAACCATCAATCTGTTCTCTAGAGATAAGGGTCTGTTTTTTGGTCTTTTTTTTTGCTTTGTTTTGTTTCTTAATTTCTACACATAAGTGAAATCATATGGCATTTGTCTTTCTCTGACTTATTTAACATTATACCCTATAGATCCATCCATGTTGTTGCAAATGGCAAGATTTCATTCTTTTTTTTATGACTAATATTCTAGCGTGCGTGTACACCACCATTTCTTTATCTACTCCTCTATGGATGGACACTTGAGCCATAGAGTTTTCCACAGTGGACGTACCAGTCTGCATTCCCATCAACACTACCCAAGGGTTCCTTTTTTCCACATCCTCATCAACACTTGTTTTTTGCGTTGTTGATTTCAGCCATTCTGACAGGTGTGAGGTGGTATTTTATTGTGGTTTTGATTTGCATTTCTCTGATGACGAGAGATGGTGAGCATCTTTCATGTGTCTGGCCGTCTGTATGTCTTCTTTGGAGAAATGTCTGTTCATGTCTTCTGCCCATTTAATTGGATTATTCGTTTTTTTGCTGTTGAGTTGTGTAAGTTCTTTATGTGTTTTGGATACTAACCGCTTATCAGTTGTATCATTTGCAAATATCTTCTCCCATTCAGTAACTTGTCTTTTACTTTTGTTGGTTATTTTCTTTGCCGTGCAGAAGCTTTTCATTTTCATGTAGTCTCATGCGTTCTCTTTAAAAACCGTATTTCATCATCACTGCCAAGTTAACGTACTCATTATTGAAAATGTTATAAATACCAACATGTATAAAGTAAAAAGTGAAACTTCTCTATCTCCCAAGTCTCATACTTTAAAAAAATATAGAAGATTTTTTTCCTATAGTGTAAGTTGGATTTTTTTAACAGAAGAAAAATAATTATGCATACTATTTTCAGTCTTTCATTTTTTTCTCTTAATAGGAATGATATTACTAATAGTTAACTGAGCATTTACTATGTGCCAACCACTACACAGAACACTGATATGTATTATCTAATCTAATCTGTATATTGACCCGCACACACTTTAATAATATTATCCTTACTTTATAGATGAAGAATTTGAGAGGTTAAATCTTTTGCATAACATTACACAGTAAGCCACAAACCTATCCAATACCTCATGGGCATATTTCCATGCCAGTACATATAGTCGTATACTGGATTACTTTTTTAACAGCTAATATTTTGCATGGATGTCCCCTCTTGCTAGCCAGTTGATTATTTTTAGTTTTTGCCTTTACAGATAGTGCTGTACTAACTAGCCTATTCTTGTGTGAAAAGAATAGGGAAAAAAATCATTATATCATGTGATCTTAAATTTTGATAGATTCGGTCAAATATTTTTGAAAGAAAGGACTGTACAAATTTATACTTCCAGTAACAACAAATGCAAAGGCCTGTCTCACTGTTAGCAGTCTGGTGCTGAATTTTGCCTCTTTTTTGTTTTGTTTTGTTTTGAAGATTGAGAAGTTTTCCTATAAACATGCAGTTTCAAAAATAAATATAGTCAAATTTGATTGGAGTAAGAGTTAACAACAGTTCTGGATTTTTTTTCCCTCACTGTACATTCTATAAAATATTTGGGAAGATATGTAGAATATATGAAGTTCAAAAATTGAACGAAAAATGTATCTATGGGACACCTGGGTGGCTCAGCAGTTGAGCATCTGCCTTTGGCTCAGGGCGTGATCCTGGAGACCTGGGATCGAGTCCCACACTGGGGTCCCTGCGTGGAGCCTGCTTCTCCCTCTGCCTGTGTCTCTGCCTCTCTCTGTGTGTCTCTCATGAATAAATAAATAAAATAAAATCTTAAAAAAAGGAAAAGTGTATTTGTATGTATATATTGGAAAATGATGACTGCAATAAAGTTAGTGAATACATGTATCACCTCATATTGTTACTAATTTATTTATTTATTTACTTATTTCTGTAGAGAGAACTATTGACTCACTCTTAATTCTATATGGGTGGAAAATGTCCTGTTACTGTCCTGTTGTATTTCTTTTTATTTTCAGTTTGGATTTCTTAATAGCGAAACGGATTGATTTTCTCATAATGCTATTGTCTCTAGTGAGTGATGTCAGTTCTCCACCTAGATCACCTTAGATTCCTTTTTACTGTGTTAGACACCCCATCCCCCACCCCGGTGTGTTTTTGCTTCCAACAGCGAACATCTGTGGCTCTTTTAAAAAGGACTGCAGTCACTTTGCAGTCACATGCAGAGAGCTAGGTGCATAGGCATTTACATTCTACAGCATGACCTTTAGCCAACGACAGGTGGGTATGTAACTTAGATTGTCAAAGTCCCCTGTGGGTAGAGACTGCCTTGTGCAGGACTTGGCCCCGAGAGCACATTCTTGTTTTCTTTCCTCCCTCTTTCCTGTTTCCCCCACTCTCCTACCAGTTTACTCTCTAAATACCCAATTCCTTGAAAATTCCTTTCTTGAATATCACTTCTTTAGTAAATCACTTGTACATGAGTCCTTGTATCAGGGTGTACTTCTGAGAACCAGATCTAAGCTAGTATCTGGAATATACAACAAACTTGCATGTCAATGAGAAAAACAAACAGTCTAATAGAAATATGGGCCGAGGATATGAATTGAAAAGGTATAGGACAGGGAACTGAGTGCCAAATAACTTGCCAACTTTATTCCAATCAGGAAAATGGAAATTCGAGAGTAGTGATGGACCATTTCATTTCTAGCAAACTGCAAAATTAAAAAGACTGATGACACCAAGTGTTAGCTAGGGTGTGGGGAGACGGGAATACTTCACACACTGTGGCAGTGTAAATTGATAAAAGCCTGAAGCTGGTCACTGGGTCTGTTTTGCTGACCACCATATCCCCGTTGTATTCCCCAAGCAAGGGAGTAGTTTCAGAGGGGACATGCAGGGAAGAGGGGCTGCAAAATAGGAGAGAGGGAACTTTCTAGATGATCTAGCTGAGTAAACAAATCTATCACTAATCAGTGGGGTGACAGGCATTGCAGCCACGCTCGCTCAGAGCTGGGACTTGTACATTCATAGGGTATCTGAGTTCCCATTTTCTTTTCTTTTAGGATTGCAATCTTGAAAATTTACGTACTTGTATTTTCAATTAAAACAATTACAGCTACCAAATTTCAGATTTTTTTTTCCTTGGGACACTGGTTTTTTAAAATTATGACTAATATTGTGTGAATATCAAAGCTCCCAGATATATAATTGACTTATCTTCCATTCGGGGCACATATGAAGGTGTTAGTGCAAGGTTAACATCTAGAGAATTTCTGATATCTGCCTTGCTGCCTGGAATAGTTCAATACATGTAACGCTCGCTCTAAAATGAATGTAAAATTAAGATCAGACCCATTATGTCATGTTAAAGACTTTTTGGATGAGTTTCTGGTCACTAGAGCTACAAGGGTCTGTGAATTCTGGCCCTAAAACAGAATGCGTTTATTCCAGGGATGCCTCAGAAGGTCGGATATATTCAAGTCCTCAAAGGAGAACTGCTTACAACTTTCTCTGGAATACCCCAAATTTCAAGATTCACCCAAACAATTAGCCAATGCATTTTATTTTATTTTTTCACTGTCTCTGAAAGTTCTGAGAAATTGATCCCAGCTTTAAGCGTTGTTCCCAGTAAGTTTGCTCACACACATTTTACACCTAATTCCAGTTGGCTCATAGATTCACCAAGACTCTTCTATTGACCTTAGACTTTGCAATTCTTTCCTATAGGCTGTCCTTTGAAATACGTCCCATGTAGTAATTTAAAAGTGTGAGACGATCGATAAAGCCGCAACTGTAGTTCACGCAGATGTATAAATTATGTTTAGAAATAATAATTTGCAGGGGTCACAGCGTTTACCATAAAGTTTTCTATGTCCTAAAAGGACTCTTCTGCTTGTAAGTCATTAGCTCATATTTGTAATTGAACAAAGTGATGCATGTCTCATGTTTACAGTTTGAGGACCAGAAATAGGATGAACAAGTGTCCTGGTTTGCTTCGGACAGAAGGGTTACCCTAGATTCTGGACTTTCGGTATTAAAATTGGGAAAGTCCCAGCAAACTGGTAAACTTGAAAAGTGTGCATCATGTACTCATTGGCAGGACTGGCTACATAATTTGTGGGGCCCAGTGCAGGATGAAAATATGGGGCCTTTGCTCAAATGTACTAAGAATTGACAATGGAGCAT